TTTTTCATAATTTTATTTTATAATTTGATATTTTTTTATGATTTTTCTCATCTTTTGAATTGTTTTAATTGTTTAAAAATGTTTTTAGACCTTTGAAAATTCTGAAAAAATTTATGGAAGGATCCAATGACATTCGAAAAAATATTGGTGACCTTATTTGATTTTTATTTTTGATTTTACTATTTTTATAAGTTTTGGTTTATTTCAATTCATTTTTTACATTTTAAAAATAGTTTCTGACTTTTAAAAATTCTAAAAAAATATCAACACTTGTTGACCTCTATTTGACCATTGGATTTTTATTTGATGTTTTAATACCTTTTGAGTATTTCATCAATAAATTTTAATTAAATAACCATTTTTAAATTATTTTTATATTCTATTTTAAGGGATTTTTATTTTATTTGATTTGATTCTGACTTGGTAATGCTCAAACACTTCTTGAGTCATAAATTTCTTCAACATCAATGGAACTTGGGTGTTGATAGGTCAAAAGACCAAATCCACCAAGATGGTTGATTGATTTTGAGGAAGTTAGACCTAGTTGTGATTCATCTGAGATATTGGTTACACTGTGACTCCCCATTTCCCTCTTCATCTTATCCCCTCTATTTTTTTCCAAATGATTGGTTCTTAGTGGCCTAAACTTTATATTTACAAGCTCAAGTATGATTAAGTGTTGAACTATGGCCAATAACTTTGAAAGTTAATTTCTATGAGGCTTTGATTTTATCAATCCTCTAATGAGTCTTCATCAATTTTGACCTAGACTCAAGGTTCAAATCATCATGGATCATATCACTTGGATTTGTTCTCATATCTTCTTTTATTTTATTGATTCTTAGTGGCCTAAACTTTGTGTTTGTAAGCCCAAAGATGATTAAATGTTGAGCTATGGACAATAACCTTGAAAGCTCATTGTTATGAGGCTTTGATTCTATCAATTTTCTAATGAGTCTTCATCAATTTTTACCTAGGCTCGATGTTCAAATCATTATGAATCACTCATCTAAAATTTTTTTCCCAACCATCAATTGTTAATCATTGACTTCTAACTATTAACCATTGATAATTGACTTTACCTTATGTTGTTACTTTATACATTTATTTTATGTCATTTACTTTTAAACATTTACATCTCATGATATTTGTCTTTTACTCACTTGAGCATTTACTTTTGGTTATTTTATCTTTGCTCACTTGAGCATTTACTTTTTTGTCATTTCATCTTTGCTCATTTGAGCTCTCTTTTCTCTTTTTAAATACACTTAATAATCAACTTGAACATTAAAAGATTTTAGATCACTTGGACTATCTGGTTACTATCCCTAGCACTATGGAGTTATGGATTCCTGAGATTTAGGATTAGAAGCCCTGAGACCTGGAAACTCTATGATCTTTGGATGATGTTTTTGAAAAGTTATTATGAAGTCATTGGGGTTTATTACAAGACATTGGTTTGAATTTTTTGTGTGCAGGTGGTTCTGATTTTCATACTTTGTCTTTGATTGGGAATTTTTTTTGTATACTGTTGTTATTCTGGCCAATTTTTGTCAATGAAGACTTTGCTTGGTTCTTAATTCATCTGAAGCTTGGTATTCATCTGAGGTTTAGTATTATGATTTCTTGTTTTAATCCAAAGGATGGTAATTATACATTTACTTCTTTATGTCAAGTGTTAGCTTCTTGTTGGTTAGACTGTTCTTTTCCTTAGCTTTTACTTTGTGTACATAGGATAGTTTATTCATCTTCTCTTATCTTCTTTAATTTTCAAGTCTTCTCCCTCATTTTCAAAACTCTTCTTGTTTTTCAAACTTGAACCGCTTTCATAATAAACTTAGACTTAGGTCCATACATTTGCAAAATCTTTTTTCTTAATTAAACCATTAATCAATTTAATCATACTTTGACATTTTTAGAAGACTAAAAGTCATTAACCTAATTCAAACCATTTACCACTTTGGCTTTTCATTTTAAAACTTTTCTCAAAAGATTATACTCTTGTGATTCTTATAGTGATGCAAGCTACTATACTTCTACAATATATAGTGAAGTGATCCATTTCCCACTTGGTGTTGAGTGATGAAGTTTAAATCCAAGCTATGTCCTTCACTTTGAGATTATATAAATGCTCCTTTCTCATGATTGTAGGTAGTAAGTATGTTTTTCACTCGGATATGATGAGAGAGAGAGAGAGAGAGAGAGAGAGAGAGAGAGAGAGAGAGAGAGAGAGAGAGAGAGAGAAAATAATAAGGAAAAAGAAATTGTAATATCCAAGATATCATCTTACCCACCTGTAAGGAAGAAGGAGCTGAAGGAAGGCTAATATAAGAAATTATAACATTATTTAATAGTTTGCATGTAACTATATCATTCTCCGAGACATTCCAATTTATTTAAATTTATGCACAAAAAAAAAAGGAGCTCCCAACAAAGAAAATAAGTTTTTCAAATAAAGAGATGGTAAACTTTTTAGAAGGGTGCAGTGTGATCATTAGATGGAAATTTCCACCAAAGCAACCAGATCCATGGAGTTTTAATTTATGCACTCTCGAGAAGCTTAATATTATTGTAGTGTTATGTGATTTAGGGACAAGTATCAATTTGATGATGCTCTCTATGATAAAAAGACTATGAGGAAGAGCAAGAGACACCAACATGATGTTAACCTTAGGAGATAACCCTTGTGTATTTCCTTGTGGAATCATGTAAGATATGTTAGTAAAAGTTGGAATGTTTGTGTATTTAGTAGATTTCATGATAATTGACATTTAATAGTTTGAAGTTAACTATATTATTCTTTAAGACGCTTTAATCTATTCAAACATATGTTGAAAAATTAAGGAGCTCCCGACAAAGAAACGAAAATTTTCAAACAAGGAGATGGTAAAATTTTCAGAGGGGTGCAATGCGATCATTAGATGGAACCTTCCACCAAAGCAACCAGATCCTTTCAATATGTTAAGTCATGGAGCTTCAATATACCTTGTACTCTCAAGAATCTTAATATTACTAAAGCGTTATGTGATTTATTAGAAAGCATCAATTTGATGTCGCTCTCTGTGATGAGAAGACTATGACAAATAACAAGAGGCAACAACATGATGTTAACCTTAGAAGATAAGTCTTATGTATTTCCTCATGGAATCATGGAAAATGTGTTAGTAAAAGTTGGAACGTTTGTGCATCCTGTAGATTTCGTGATAATTGACATTGAAGAAGAAGTTGAAGTCCCTACGATTTTAGGTAGACCGTTATTGCATATTGCAAAAGCAAATGTCGATTTGGAATTAAGTAAATTATGGCTGAATTTCTGGAAGAAAAATATAATAATCAAGGTGTGTGATGACATGCAAGTGTGGGAAGATAATCCAGAAGAAGAACATGAGAAAATTCAGTGAATAGAAAAAGTTGAAGAAGAGATGCGTTCACTGATGAAGAAGAAGATGATGATGATGAAGATGACACAAAAAACGATTGGAGAACTCTACGCTCTGGTTGAAAACATTGATAATGGCATAAACTATGCAAAGGCTATAAAAAAGGTATAGACTTTAGGTCTAAAAAGTGATACGGTTAACTTAAGCAAGGTTGATGACAGTTCTAACAAAAAATATTCTCCTTAATCAGAGAAAAAATATGTCAAGCTAATGATGTTAAACAAACTATTAATTGATGAAAACCCATTAAAATTAGGTTATATCGTTTTAATTGCATTTTTAAATTTTATTGCTTTAGGGTAGAATGAAAATTCTTTTTAGAACAAATAGATTAAGTTTGAGGGTTGGAATGTTAATTTCAAAGAACAATGGCTAAAAGTTTAAACTTTTGAAAATATTTATACTTTTATGCTATGTTTACAAGTTCGGGAGCAAAAAGAATGGAGGGTTTGGAAGGAGGAGATTTGGAGAAAAAAAAATATTAATACTTTTTGTGATTGTATTTTTATAAATATTTATCATTAATATATTTTTAATTTTTAAAAATATTAATATTTCTTGTGATTGTATTTTTATGAATATTTATTATTAATATATTTTTAATTTTTAAAATCTTATAACATAGATTATATTCGAAATATTTATCTACCTATACCTTGACTAATAGTACCGTTTTTGAATTCTTTCAAATTTGAGATTTTATATTATGAATAAAAACAAATATTCTAAAATCCTCACTATTTAATAGCATACTTGGATTAGCTTTTAAAAGACCAAGAATCAATTCTAGAGGTGTTAAATTGATTCCGGATAATTTTGAGGTGTTTGTTTTATCAAAAGTAGAATTGATTTTCCTCAAGAATTGATTCTATTTGAAGCTAAAATCGGTAGTTTTTATCTCCCGAATTGATTTTGTGTGATTTTTATACTGAAATTTATTATTCAACTCATTTTCATATAAATGTATCCAAACATAATTCAATTCTTCTAAAATCAATTCTGTTAAAATCAATTCTACCAAACGCAATTCTATTAAAATCAATTATATTCACCGCCAATCCAAACACACTTTAAATCCCTTAATTTTTTCCGGTCAATCATTTCCTTTTTTTTTTTAAGTCTTTTCCTCTTTTCCCCTTTAAACTCCCAAACAAAGTTAAAGGTGTAAAAGAAACGAGACCCTTTTTATTCATAAACTATTCTTAGCACAACATACTGCAAACAATTTTTTTATCCAACAAGCATTTTGTGTACTTAAGACTATTTTTATCCAACAATTTTTTTATCCAACAAGCATTTTTATCCAACAATTTTTTTATTCAACAAGCATTTTTATCCAACAATTTTTTTATCCAACAAGCATTCTTAGCACAACATACTGCAAACTATTCAACACTCTCTAGTATTCCTTCTGTATAAATTATTTGTAAATAAAAGAATTACAGTATACAAGCATAAAGAGAATAGTCTTATCACAGAACTTTCCCTACCTCCAAATATGCTGTCAATATCAATAAAAGAACCATGATTTGCATGAGAGAATAAAACTGTATGATAGGATTATATAAATACGTTTCTGTCAAAACTTAACCTCTTTGCTTGTCTCACGCACTCATTAACCATCGATTTCTTCAACCTTTCAGCCTGTTCAAATTTCTCACCAATGACATACAAATCGGCAATAAGGCTATAAAGCCCTCTATCATTGTCTGGATTTGCCATCCTTAGAACCTGCTCAATCACCCTCTCAGCAATCCCAAATTGCTTGTGCTCCTTACAAGCCGACAAGAAAGAACCCAAGACAACAACATTTGGTTCAACTCTCATTGTTCTGATAATCTCATAAGCTTCCTCTAGTTTCCCACTTTTCCCAATCAAATAAACCAAGCATGCATAATGTTGAACTCTTGGTTCCAAACCCCACTCTTCAATCATCTTGAAATACCTTCTTCCCTCCTCAACAAACCCCCCATGAGCACAAGCACTAAGCACCCCAGTGACAGTCAATTCGTTCGGTTTGATTCCATCCATTTGCATCTTCTCAAACACAACCAAAGCTTCTTTATTTAACCCACATTTTGCAGATCCACAAATCATCAACGTCCAAGCCACAACATCTCTTTCATCCATCAACTCAAAAACCTTGGCAGCATTTCTCAAAACTCCACCTTTAGCATACATATTAACCAAAGCAGCACCTATCTCAGCATTCAACTCCCACCCATTTCTCACTATAAAACCATGAACTGATTTTCCACCTAACAATCCACGAGACCCCATGTGAGCACATCCCGATAAAACCGCACCACAAGTCACTTGATCCGGTTTCGTTCCTTCAACAAACAACATCCGTCTAAAAAGATACAAACTTTGCATATAACTTCCAACAGTCGTATAACCCGAAATCACAGAAGACCATGAAACACCATTTCTCTGCGGCATTTCCTCAAACAACTCACGTGCTTTATTCATATCACCATATCTCAAATACCCCAAAATCATGGTGTTCCAAGTGACATTATTCCTGTGGGGCATTTCATCAAACAGTACACATGCATCAATGAAAGAGAGACGAATATAAGCATTTAAAAGACAACTTGTGACATGGATTTGAGAGATGAAACCGAGTTTGATGATATGTGTATGAAGGTGATGAATGATGGGTAAGCTGTGTAAATGAGTGGAAGATTTTAAGGTGAAGAGAATGCAGAAAGAGTCAAAAGGAACACCATTTCTATGCATTTTGGAGTAGAGATGTAAAGCTTTTTTTGGTGATGATGAAGAGGCTTTTTTAATAGATAAAGCCCATGAACTCCATCTTCTAACAAAAGACAACACTTGTTGTAGATGTTTCATTTCATAACATATGTCACAGGTTTTGGAATTAAGCTCCGATTCAAAATATAAATGGGTTTTAATACGATGATACTAGTAGTGATTCAAAACAGATACATATAAGAGGAAAAAGAAGGAGTGTATGTGTAGGGATGATGTGAAGAACATTAAACTAGTTTATGTTCACATCGTTGTTGCCTTTGGTCATTTTCTCAATCTTTCGACCAATTTGACATTTTTTGGTTTAAAAATTGTTAACTTGGTAGGAAAGAAGTTGTTTTTTACTTCACGAATCTGTATAGACGGAAAATTGAGTATTTCTTACCTCATCCTATCTTTAAAATTTAAATGATACCTAATTTCTATAATGTCTTTCTAAAATCGGAATATATTACTAGTGCACGCCTTTTTTTAAAAAAAAATTTGATTTAAAATTGAAAATATAGTTTCAATTTTAAATTGATAATATATTTCCGGTTCTATATTAACAATAGTAGAAAAACTAAGTTTATAAGGAAATATATTTCTTATTTTTTTTATCACAAATTAAAATATATATATATATATATACTGTGATAGAGTCGTACACAACGCCAAAATATAATTTAAGTACAAATATGATATAATATAATACCAAAAAACTAAAATCAAAATACAAATGCATCAGTATAAACTACTGAGCATGGCGGATGATGAGTCAGTCTGTCACCCTCGAGGCGTTTGAGAGAATTTTATGTTTTGTTTTGAAAATAGTTACGGTAATGGAAGGGGAAAAGGCATGGCGCCATTTAGTGCGTCTAGGAACCAGAAATATACTTACAGTTTGGAATCGGAAGTATATTTCCAATTTGTACCCACTCTTTCTAATATAATTCATGTATAGCATGATGCAAATCAAAAGTATACTTCTGATTTTAAAAAGTATAGAATTGTACATAGTATGTGATCGTACCTGATCAGAACTGGACCGTCACAGTTGGCTTCGAACTGACTTTGAAGGAGATGGGGGGTACCTGCAAGACACTTCGATGACAAAGTGAGAGACAGAATGAGCAGGCAAGCAAGTATATTGGTGTGTATGAAATGAATACCTGACCCTCTTGAAATAGAGGGTATTTATAGCCTCCAGCATTGGGCCAAGGTCCCTTTACTGGGCTGACCAAACAGGCCCAACAAAGGGACTGCCAGGTTCTACTTGGAGTAGTGGGGACCTACACATGGTCCCCTACCTGGATGATGCTCTCTGTAGAATAGGGAGGGTGAAGACGCGATCTTCTCAGGACCCTGAGGACTCCGAGATATTCGGAGAGGTTGAGAGTCTGCCCTACGAGGAGGGTGCTCGAGCAGGGCCTGGATTGGGATATTCTTCGTCTGGGACGTCCCTTGTCGGGGACGCTCTTCGCGGTCACCGGCGGGCACAATTGTATTCGACGACACCCATGATCGGGGCGTGTCGGGGAGTATAATACTCAGCATGGTATGTTGTAAAGCTTGGATTGGGCCTCGCTGGTGATTGGGCCACGGGCAGGCCCAGTCCAGAACAAGAGCCCCCCAAGTCGTTGCTCCTGGTACGGGAGTTATGACTTGACTCAAACTTGTTCTTCCGCGAGACTCGCTTGCACGACGCAGGGGCATTCAACCGGGGAGAAAAGGCATCGCCCCCCAACATACTCCGGTGAATGGGTCGAGAGAGATAGAGAGGGGAGTGGGATACAGGAAGTATAGTGTTTGTGATTTTCCTCGTGCAGCGATCGAGGAGCGTTCGAGGAATTTTTGTGGTGAGGTGGTGATGCATCAGTTAGACACGTGGTGCGGCTCTTGGAAACCACAATGCTGACCTAGGGAATAGGGCCATCATTGTCTATGCGAGTAGGCGTCGAGGAAGGGGGCGGTTTGTGGTTCCCCGACGTGACGTTTTATATTCCACGTCATCTCTATAAATAGGGCTCCAGGGCCCATAGTTTGTTCTCACTTCTTCTCGCTTCTCATATTTTCTCTGCTCTCAATCTCGTGATTCTTCGTACCGTCATTGAGACCGTCGTGCCGTTAGCCTTCTGATCATCTCCACCACCGTCGTTCTTCATTCCTCTCTCAAGTAAGTGTTTTCTCTTTTGATATCTCATGTTGTAGATACATTTGATGGTGTTTTAGTGGTAGAATCTCGTGTTTGGGGATAGTGCCCCATAAATTTAAGCGCGTTGGGCGCCTGATTCATGGTTGTCCCCGAGATATTCATAAGTTTAGGCATACGGTTTATGATCGTGCCCGCAATACTCATGCATTTGGCTAGTAGATTTATGAACCTGGTCGAGAGATTCATCATTTGGTTAGTATGTAGGCTAGTTTTCCCCGTAGTATCCTTGTATCGGGCCAGAAAACATTATGAACTTGGTCGCAGGATTCATCCTTCGCTTGTGATATTCATGTTGTGCTCGCATCGTTCATGATTGCTACCCATCCGACGCTGAGATTGGTGTTTTGTCGAGGTCTACTTGTTTCCCGTTTTCATGCGAATGACCGTAGACTTGGTCTGAGTGTTGCTTACGCCTCCCCGTCTTTGTGGCGGACAAGCGGATTTACTATCGAATTCACTGGTTTCCTGTACTTTACAGGTAAATGGTCGATATTCCTGAGTCCTCGGGGCGTAACAACATGGAGGAAACAAGCACAACGGAGGAAACTATCACCCTGGTCGACAACGTCGATGACCCCACTCTGGATTGGGTCGGTGCAGAGCCCCGGGGGATAGTTTCGATCTATAGCCTTTCCAATAGACAAGCTTACACCGTCATCGAGTATGGCGGCGGTCAAGAGGGATTTCAAAGGAACTTCAGGATTATGAGGTCGTCGAGAGATGCCCGTATCTATTCGGAGTTCACACAGGATGCATTTCCCATGTACGTGATCGTATTCAGAGATCTCGGGTTCCGGTTGCCCTTCAATGACTTCCAGGTCGGAGTGTTCAACCATCTGAACCTGGCCCCTTCCCAAATTCATCCCAATGTGATTGCCTTTCTCTGGGCATTCGAACTCACCTGTCGCTTCCTGAGGATTGGGGCGACGATCCCCCTGTTCTTCAGGGTTTTCCACTTACAACGGCAGTCCTGAGGAGGGAAGCACAGCTGGGTATCCCTTAAACAGTCGAAGAGACTGTTTAGGATGTACATGGATTTTGTGCGAGATTTAAAGGATAAGTGGTATATTTTGCAACCGTCCACCCCGACGGCCATAGATTCGCTGTTCGAGCCGACCGCTGTGGTGGACGAGGATGGGGAGCCATGTTTGGATGCTGAGGGTAACCCCGAGATTGGGAGAGTCTCTAGGTTTCCCATTCACTGGTGTTCGGGCCATTACGACCATGGTCTTGGATACTACCACACTCCTGCTAGGAGTATGAGTGTTGAGGATGAGGAAGCTTATGGCGTCCTAAACAAGTTTGTCAACGGCTTCTTTCCTGTTGGGTGGGTGACAGGGAAGGTGACGACGTTCTCGATGAGGATGGTTATTCGACATTCGAGGCGTGCCCGATCAATACTAAGGCGCTGGTCAAGTGCCAATCTTACGGGCAAGCCGTAGACCTCTTAGGTTTCTTGCTTTGCTCTATTGATATTCCTCTTTATTTGCTTTCTTTAATGTACATAGCTAATCCAAGTACGCTTCCTTTGCAGGTCAAATGGCGGAGCGTCGCGAAAGATTGCTGAAGTTAACCCAAGACAAGAAAATCAACAAGAGATTGGTGAGGCCGCAATATGCCACGCGGATGGGCCCGCCTCCTGACTCGGGCAAGGGAGGATCTAGCGGGTCCTCTGGTTCCCCAGACGCCGAGCGCCAATCTGTTCTGATCAGCAAGAAGCGGAGCCGTCCAGATGATGGGGTCGAAGTGACTGACGGAGGTGCGAGTGCCCGGGCCTTCGGGCTGCCACCCTGCTTCGTGGAGAAGGATTTCTTTGAAGGGTTTCCCTTATCTGTTTCCGACAATGAGGCTGACATCATCAGGCGGCTTGACAAGGAAGGCCGAAGGAAGCACCTCGTTGCCAGTATGGTTGGGGTGGTAAAAATGGCCGAGATGGCGGTTGTGCTCGCGGGAGAAGGATCGGACTCCATGGACTGGGTCAGAGAGCTAGAGTCGGAGAAGACGGCTCTCGCGGCCAAGTCCCGCAAACTGAAGGCTTCCCTCGAACGCTCTGAGGAGATGTTTCGCGAGCAGTATGATGTGTTGACGGGGGAGAAGGAAAGGGCCGACAGGGCTCTCGAGGAAAGGGATTGCCTTCAACTAGATAAGGAACGGCTGGAGAGCAACAACTAGCGGCTGTCGAGGGAGGTCGAGGACCTGAAAGCCGTTATGCTGCCCGCTGAAGATGAACCAGAGAGGATGGCTGACTTGCGTATGCGCTCTGATTTTATTGCTCTCATTCAACTCCTAGATTCAGACAGCGTCGGCGCTTTGGCCGATGGGTTTGAGGTTGCGGTGAGTCAGTTGTCCGTGCTTAATCCGGGTTTGAACACCGACGGGGCTGGAGTTCTATCCCAGATCTTCGATGGTCGGGTTGTGCCTCCCCCCGACTCTCCTGAAGTCGACGTCAGCACTCCGGGGACTGATTGATACCTTGTTGGTGTTTTGGGTTTGCGCGCCCGTTTATTGTTTTTTTGGGGCCTGCGTGCCCGTAATTATTTTTGGGGCCTGCGTGCCCGTATTATTCTTTATTTTTTTGGCCGTCGTGCCTGGACTGCAACTTCGGATATCGTCGGCCCTTGTGGTCGGTATATTATTAATCCTTGTTTATGATTGCTTGTTCGACGGATGCTTTGTTTGCAATTACCCCGACTGTTATTTTGATAGTGAATTCTTTGGCGAAGTTTGTATTCTAGTGGAGATATTCGCTCGACCCCTGTGACGGTTCGACGCACTTCGAAATGTGTCGAATGCGCGGAGTGGAATCCGCATGTCGGGCGTATGACCGTGATTGGGGTCCTATGCCCGTGGCATGAACTGCCCATCGCGAGCTGGGTGTTCTGCCATG